GATTCACCTGTTTCTGTCTCCCAAGTGCTGGGATTAAAGGTGTATGACATCATGCTTGGCAATTTATTTATTTTTAAAATATTTATCATTTTAATTTTATGTGTATGAGTGTGTGTGTATGTGTACCACATGGGTGCAGTACCCATGGAGACCAGAAGAGAGCACTGGATCCCCTGGAACTGGTGTTATGGATGGTTGCAAACTGCATGGTGGCTGCTGGAAACTGAACCCAGGTCCTCTGCAAGAGCAGCAAGTGGTCTTAACAGCTGAGCTGTCTCTCTAGTCCTTAAACAATTTTTCTTTTTGGTCTTTTTGAGACAGGGTCTCCCTGTAGTCCCAGCTGGCCTGGAACTCACAGAGATCTGCCTGCCTCTGCTTTCAGAGTGCTGGGTCTAAAGGCATGCATTACCACACCTGGCTTGAAGTTTTTTTGTTTAGGTGTAGCTATGGTCAAGAAGGTGCCTTATCATTTTGTTTACATTTATTTATTTATTTATTTATTTATTTATTTATTTATTTATTTATTTATGTGTGTGTGTGGGGGGCCCTCACATGTCATGGTGTTTCCACAAGAGTTGGTTCTCCCCTTTCCTTATATGGGTCCTGGGGATTGAATTCAGGTCGTCAGCCTTGGTAGCAATTGCCTTTATCCACTGAGCCATCTTGCCAGCCAGAGACTAGAGAAATTTTCCAGAAGAATCAAGTGTATTCCATTTTAGATGTTTCCTCTCATCTCATACCGACTCCAATGAATTACATATACCCGTGCTGGCTGCTGTGACACAGGACTGTGCAGATGTTACTGTAACCCAATATCATGCAGGCTGATTCTTTCCTGTCTCTCAGGAGCCTGTACCAGGCTGCAGAACTGGAGTGTAGGGGAAGCACTGAACCCCCGGTTTCTGGAAGGTTCATGCAGCAGGCATGTGCAATGATAATCCTGTCACTTTTCAGGTTAGGCATTTAGAGTGGCACAAGCCTTTGATGTGGGCTTACCTTCTGAGTATTATGAAAATTAAGTACAAAGTAGGGGGTTGCCTGAAAGATGCTGTGGTCTCCGGGGACAAACTTATGCATGAGATGCTGACAATTTGCAATCATTTCTTTAATAAACATGTCTCCAAGTTGGCTTGCAAAGTGGGGCATTTAGAAAGCCATGGAAATGAGTCCATGCATAAAATATGATATTAAAAAGGTAACTGTGAACTTTGCAGATGACTTGAGTGCAAAAGCTGTCTTTTGTTAGCATGGATATGGGAGCTTGCCGTTCTCTGCTGCACAAACATATGAGCAGAAACCCAAGTTGCCGAGTTGTTTTAAGATAACAGTGACAGAGAAGGCTCCTTCTGGTTCATCCATATTTCATTAGGGCAGGAGTTAAAAGATTCATTAGCAGCACCCATCTGTAGCCAGCAGCACTCTTAAGGGTTCAGATGGAGATAGACTCTTCTGAGTAGCACTTTATAGGCACAGTAAAAGACAATCATTTATGAGAATTAATAGCACAGGGGAAAGAGGCTGCCTGGTGAATTTCAGAGCATACCCGTGCCAACACAAAACACAAGCTTGCTCCAAAATGAATGAGAGATAATTCATTCTGAGCCAAGTATGGGCGACCATGGCCTGGAAGCATGGATATGGGTTACCCTAAGTGACATGTTCCACAGTGGAAGAGATTACATGAAATTTTATATTCATAGTAAGCAGAAGAAAGTCATACATCAGTGCATTTACTAAATATAGTGTGTGGGGGGACTGCAAGTCAACAGGTTACAGCAAAGCAGGGAAAGCTCTGCTAGGCTCTCACGTGCTGCCTGATGACACTCTTACTTTTGGGTTGGTAGAAGCTAATGGTTTGCTAAGTTAATACGTTCAAAATGGTTTCACCCGGTAACTTAAAGGATGATAGGTCAGACCCAGATGTGGGCAATGACTTTTAAGAGGGCTAACAGAATTCAAGGTAATTTTGGCTCTGGGTCTATAACTTTTCAACTCTCCACAATCATGAGGTTTTAATAAGCCCAAAGAGAAGCTGCTAAAGCCTTGGACAAACACCAAGCCCATTTTTATGTGTTTGCCTCTAATTATAATGAAACTGGATGTGTCAAGTTGATGAAAGCCCTTTGTGCTAAGCACCAAATCAACCCACAAGAAGCTAGGGGAGTGAGTAGGCCTCTGCAAAACTGATTGAGAGGGGAAACCCTGTAAAGTGGTTGGCTGCAGTTGTGAAGTGGTTAAAGATCAGGGTACAGAATCTCAGGCTATCAAAGAATGCTTCAAATGCAAGAAATGAACAAATAAAATTTGGCTCATTAAAAAGGGCAACTTAGAGAAGAAAAGATTTATTTTAGCTTATGGCTCCAGAGGAATAGAGTCTATAATGGTGGGGAGGGCCTGGTAGTCAGGAAGCAGAGAGATCACATTTCCTTCACACAAAGGAAGGAGAGAGAAAGAGAGAAACAGAGAAGAAAGAGAGAGAGAGGAGAGAGAAAACAGGAAGTGGGGTGAAGCTATAAGCCTCCAAAACCCATCCCCAATGATGTACTTCCTTTAGCAAGTCTCTACCTCCTAAAGGTTCCATAACCTCCCCAAACAGTAACACTGACTGGGTACCAAGTATTCAAATACATGAGCCAGTGGGGAACATTTCACATCCAAACCACAACATCCAACTTTAGGACTGACTTAGACTCTGGGTGCTGAATTAATTACTAACACTATATAGACAGAAAGTGGAATGGTGCTCACCAGAGCCTGGGGGAGGGGTAGGAGGGTGTCAGTTTTGATGGGGACCATGTTTCAGTTTGGGAAAATGAAAGTTTTGCAGATGGATGGTGTGATGTTTGGACAACAATGTGAATATTATCTGCTAGCACAATAAAAGCTATTTAAAATATCCTGGAGGAAATAACTTGAAGAGTAGTAGGGAAGCTAAACTTCAAGTGTTTTCAAAGTATCACTGTTAGGAATTAACAATGTAAGAATTAATTAGATTTTACCCTTACACGTTGGTGGACATTTCTGGCAGTAAAGAGACTATGATAGTTTCATTTCTATCTCAGTTCTAGAACCTTCTTTTTGTTATCCACAGTGGTGCTCACAGGAGGTTGTGTACCTGTGTCGTTGTTTTTAGAGATGGACAAGAGAAGTTTGCTGTGTTATTTGTAGCATTTCTGTGCTGTAATATAAAGATTTATTTTTATTATTTTTAAAAGTGTGTGTGTGTGTGTGTGTGTGTGTGTGTGTGTGCATGCGTGCATGTATGTGTACCATCATCCTGGGCTGAGTGCAGTGTCCATGACTACCTCAATGGAACTATCATAAGACCAGAGCACAGGGTGATCTGTGCTTGGCAGGAAGGAATGTGACCACAAGTGCACCCTGATGTTTTATGGGAGACACAAGGCTTGTTGCTTTTGAAAAAACAATTTCACATGCAGCCAGTGATGAGTCATGAGTCACTTAGTTTGAATCCAGAAGTGACAAGGAAGGTCAAGGTCCTGTCCAGAGGCTTGGCCTTCCCACCCTGCTGTTACTATTACAGCACAAAGGGGCTGGGAAGGTGTCTCAGCACATAACCGTGCTTGCAGAAGACCGGAGTTCAGCTCCCAGCACCCATGTAAGGAAGCTTACAACCACCTGTAGCTCCAGCTCCAGGGAGATCAAATACCTTTTTCTGGCCTCCATGGGTACCACATTAAACTCAGGATGGTGACAGCCTTGGGCACAGGCTGAATTTCCTCAGGCCAACTGAGGAAGAAATAATTAACCACATTCCACTGCAGCTGGTTTTAATTTTGTAGTCCATTATAGGGTGTTCTGCATGGCCCTACACTCAGGATGGGTGTTTGAGACAGGAGATAGCCAGCTGCATTTGTCACTTTTGACCTTTAAACTTTTGCTAGCTTTGGGTCAGGGAGGATAGCTAACTGTATTTCCTGTCCTCAGTTTACCCTTTAGTTCTGTGGCCAGTTTAAAGTCTCTGCTATTAGTCCATTTTTAGCCTCACAGGCATAGCTCCCAGCTGCTCCTCTGGCTCAGCAGTTTGCAGCTCACTTGCTTCGAAGCTTAAACTGCCTCTGTGAGAACCTGCCTCTGCTCCAGTGCCTCACTCCCTCTCCCGATTTCCTCCCAGGCAGGCTTTCCAGGGATCTAAAGGACCCTTTGACATCTATGATAGCGGCCCTTTGACATCTATGTTGGCTTCAAGTGCCTGTCTGTCACCCCCCTTCAGTCTCAGAGCCACAGAGCTGGTTGGGGTGGCATGGGGTTCCAGCATCAGTGGGCCCAGCAGGTTTGTGCTGGAAGACGAGATGTGTCACCTGTGCTTTCTCTATATCATCCAACGCTTATGGAAGAGGAGGCCACAAAGGACTGGAGAGGCTGCTCTGGACCCCTCTCCTATTCAGTAGTTCTTGGGTCAAATGGGTAGAATGAAGTCATCTCTGGGTTTCCCACAGCAGGGTGAGCACATCTGTTTCCTGGCTACCCTTTAGAGCCCCAACTTTGGGCCTTGCCCTTGTGGTATCTCATGCTCCTTCCTGTCTGGCTGGGCCTTCTTCTGGAGCAGACTGTGCTTGGCCTGAGGAGGAAGTGTGGCCTTCAGCAGAACATCTTGTTGCCCTTCCTTAGCTGCAGGCCCAGCAAACCAGCAAGGTCAGATTTCAGGAAGAATACATGAATGAGAATTGATTTGTGGTCCCAGGGGACATCAAAGATGCCCTCAGGAAAAAAAAAGGCAAAATAAAAACCAAACAAACGAAAATCATGGAAAAAAGCAGAAAAAAAAGAAAAAGAAAGAAAGAAAATGAAATAGAGAAAACTGTATGTGTGTGTATATGTGGTTTTGGTTATGGAACACTAGGAATCTTTCTAGCAGTTTCAGGTGTGCCCTGTGTGGGCTTCTTGTGCTCCTTTTAGCTCATTCCAGAAGTTTCCTCCAGGCCTGGCTGTCAGTGCCTCTGTCCTACCTTCTACCCTCTTTTGGGTACCTGAGGGTTATGATTAAGGCCTGTGGCCACCTCTGCAGCAGGGGATGGGACACTGTGCTGCAGAATGTGTCAGCCTTGTGTTCTGTTGTGTTTGGTAAATCCTATGAGTGCGGGAGGGTGAGGAGGGCTGGGATCAAACCCACGGCCTCTTGCATGCTAGGCAGATATACAACTGCTGAGCTACATCCGTAGCCAGGGAAATATCTTTCTATGACTGGTCTTGGCCTGTGGGCAGCTGGCTGGTGACTTCCAGACTTCCAGAGGCCTGGCAGGAAGAGCTAACCCCTTGGAGGGTGGCCACACAGGCATTTGGATAGAAACAGCTTTGAGCAGGTTATTTTCCATTTCGAATTGTTCTGTGAACATCAGGGGAGCTACTTGTGTGTGGGTGGTATTTGGATTAAAAATAATTAAAGGACTTTTTTTTTTTTTAAGCCAAAAGCCAATAGTTAGTTTAATGGGAGGGGTCCTTTTATGTTCCCTTCACTTTACTGAGAAAGAACCTCTCCTAGTGCTGTGATAAAACACTGACCAAGGCCAACTTGGCGAGGAAAGGGTTTATTTCATCTTATAGGCCATCATCTAGGGAAGCCAAGGCAGGCACTCAAGGCAAGAGCTTGACACAGAGACCATGGAGGAATGCTGCTTACTGGCTTGCTCAGCTACTTTTCTTATACAGCCCAGACCCCCCTGCCCAGAGATGGCACGACATACAATGGGTTAGGTCCTCCTACATCAATTAGCAATCAAGAAATACCCCATATATGATGCCCATAGGCCAATCTGAAGGAGGAAATCCCTCAATTAAGGTTCCCTCTTCCCAGGTTATTCTAGTTTGTGTTCAGGTGACAAAAACTAACCATCACAGAGGCACAGAGGGGGTGAAGAGCATGTAGAAGGTCATACAGCCAGCAGGTTGTCTAGTCAGGTTTGAGCCAAAGAGGCTTCAGCATTTGTTTCTGCTCCTTCCTTCAGGATAGCTAGTCGAGCATTCTGCTGTCAGGCAGCTTGCTTTCCATCCCCTCTTCTGGATGGGGATACTGGCCCACCAGTGCTACTAGGGAAGATGCTGGGGCTCTGGGAACTCCAAGGCTGTGCCAACATGCCGGCAGAGCCGGCTGCTCTGCCAACAGAGAACTGGGACACTGGGCTGAGCTGAGCACAGTCGGAGTTGAGACAGGATTTCAGGTAGCCCAGACTGGCCTTGAACCCCCTGTGTAGTTGAGGATGACTTTGAGCTCCGGATCCCTCTTGCCTTTACCTCTGAGGGCTGGAATTTCTTGAGTTGACCCTGGAAGCTCTGAGTCAGCTGGACCTTTGCCGGGTGTACTCAGGAATGACCTGTGCACCTTCCATGTCCTCCATACACAAGTCCTACCAGTCAATGAGATGTGTCATTTCTTTTTTCTTCCCAGACGGTAGACATGGCTCATTGCCTGCAGCATCTCGTCGGAGGCAGCGGCTGACACGGAGACCAGGCTACATGAGAAGTGTAGCTGGGGTCGGGATCGGATTCCTCTCTCCAGCAGTGGGCACGTCATGCTGGGTCCCAGGAGGGCCAATAGGCAAGGGGCTCTACCATTCAAAGTCCGAGGCTGGACGGTGTAGCCTTGACCCCAGCAGCCACTGTAAAGGCTCATTGGTGGGCATTCCATTTCTTAAGAGCTCATCCGCCCCTGATGTGGCCTCTGGGAACCACCTGCACTTGGCCCAGAGCTCTGTAAGAGAAACTCCAGTGGGCTTTGGGGTTCATCCCAGAGCTGGCAACAGACTACCTGAGAGGCTGACTGGGTCATGCCGTCCTGGAGACTGTGGACGTCAGCAAGAATTTTCATCCATGGACAGTTCTGAGTCCCCAGGCTCCAGCCTTGGTGCAGCCTGGAGTGAAGGGACAAGGGGCCCTCAGGCTATGGGATCACTGGCATCACTAGAGTCGAGCACCACCCCTGGCATCCCAGCCCTTCCTGGCTCCCAAGACATCTTTGCCTCCAGCTTCAGCTTCATTCAGCTTTCCCTTGGTGCCGCTGGTGAACGCGGAGAGGCAGAAGGCTGCTTGCCATCCAGGGAGGCTGAGTCCCCTCATCTGAGCCCCCAAGGGATGGGGACCGAAGCATCCAGCTCAGACAGGCAACATGAGGACCCTCGACAGCTCTGGGCTTTCAGTCCCCTGGCTAGTCCAGGCTCTGTGGATATGGCTCAGGTGGCAGGGAGCAGCAGCAGGCTAGAGTGTAGCATGCTCTCCTCCCTAGATACAGACACTTCCCAGGATCCCTCCATAGATGGAGATCAGGCTGACAAGGGTAGCGGTTGGGCAAATGCCCATGGGTGGGATGCTTTGCTCAAGGAATGGGAGCCGGTGCTGCAGGACTGTCTACGGAGCCATCGCAGGCAGCTGGAGGTATGTGTCTCCCCAGGAACTGGTCAGGACTCCAGTTCAGTGCTGGGCAGAGGCCGGGAGCCATAGCTGACTGAGCATTGTCCTTGGAAGCTGCAGGGATTCCTGGGGTAGCTGGCTGCAAAGACGTGGCCACACCTGTCTCCTCTGCATCTGGGCATGGATGCCGTTTGCTCTCTGACCCTGTGACTTAGGGGCTCAGATGTGCTCTCTGATGGGATTACACTCCTCTACAGCCCTTGGCCTGGCTGCAGTGTGTTTCCTCTGCTTTGAAACAGGACACTGGGGACCAATGAGATGGCTCAGTATGTAAAGACACTCGCCACCTGAGTTTGATCCCCAGGACCCACATGGTGGAAAGAGAACTGATTCCTGCAAGTTGTCCTCTGACCTCCCCTCACATACTGTTGCATGTGTGTGCCTTCCTCCTCCCCACATAATAAAAAATGTAATGAAATAGGACACCGGGAGGGTAGGGGAGACTGAGGCAGCAGAGGTTTGGGAAGGGTGAGAGGTTATGACGGGACAGCCTGACTGGGTGGACACCATCCTCCCCTGCCTTGTTTCACTTCACCCTGCTGTCCTGTGCAGACAGCTGGCCTCAGGCACTGGTCTATTGTACTGCGTGGATCCTTCTGTTGAGAGGCTGTTTACTTCTGGTGTGCACACGTGTTTGTAATGTGTGACTGTGTGTATGCATTTGTGTGTATGACTATGTGTGTATGTATGCATGTGTATGTGTGTGCATTCTGTGTATATGTTATGCATCTGTGCATATATGCATGTTTATATGCATGTGTATGTGTGCATGTATGCATGTGTTTGTGTATATACATGTATGTATGTGTATATGTATGTATATACTGTGTTTATATTTCTATATAAGTATGTGTGCATATGTATATGTATGTGTATATGTGTGATGTGTATATGTTTACATATGTATGTCTGTGCATGTGTGTATATGTGTATTTATATGTGTCTGTGTGCACATGTGTAAGGAGGCAGAGCACCCACCCATGCAGCATTTGGTAGACTCACAAAACTTAGAAATTTACATCCACCCTCTGTAGTTGCATCTCATCCGGTCTCTGCTCCTTTCCTGTAACCAGGGGTGATCAGCCTTGTTCTTGTTTGACCTGGTCTGGCCTTCGGCACCTCAGCTCAGTTCAGATGTTGGATGTGGAGAGTGAAGGCAGATGGAGACATGTGGAGTGCTGGAGTTAGACATGTCCATAGCTAGGGCTGCAGACCATTCACCACACCCGTTTAAGGACCTCGCGTGTATTGATCTGAGTAAACAGAATCTACCCAGTTCCTCAGGCCGGAACCACAAGGTGCCCCCCATCTCTTGCTTTCTCTGGTCGCTGCCTCTGGTCGCTGTCTCTGAACACCTTCAGTCCTGCCCCCACACATGCTGCCTCTCTCCACCATAGCCACTGCTGGGTTCAGGTCCCTGTTAGCTTTCACCTTTTTTCTTTCTTTTCTTGTGGTTTTGTATGGAACCTGGGGCCTTGCACCAGCTGGGCAAGCACCCTACCACTGAGCTGCACTCCTAGTCTCTTTCTACTTTTTGTATTTTGAGGTAGGCACTCACTAAGTTGTCCATGCTGGCATTGAACTCGCTTTGCAGTCGGGAAGAACTTGAACTCTCAGTCCTCTTGCCTCAACCTCCCAGGTGGCCGGGATTACATTGTCCAGCACCAGGCCTGGCTTTCAACCTCAGGTTTCCAAGTTACTTTCCCTTGGCATCTCTTCTGCAGTTTATCCAGGGCCCAGGCTCAGCCTGCCACACTACCGTTCTGTGCTGGTGCCTGGCTACTGGCCTTGCTTGGCCCCTTACCACTCTCAGCAGCAACTGGGGTCCTTGTCCAGACCTTTCTCAGCTTGCTCGCACTGCTCCCGTCTTACGGTGTGAAAGAGCAGGAAACGGTGCGCATGCCTTTTCTCTGTTCCCTTTCTTCCTGGAGTGACTTCCTCCTCTCCCCTCCTGTCCCTTTATATGGTTTCATGGTCACTTCCTTGGAATTTCCTACCCTACAGACTCAGTGACTCCTTCCTACAGCTACTGGACAGGCTCGTTCCAGCCTTATCCACCAGTCACGGCTTGCCTGTGCTCATGTTCCCTGTGCGGGTAGGGACGAGCTCGGGATGCCTGAACCTGACTCCTTCTGGCCCTAACCAGGCACCAGATGAAGGTTTTAGTGAAACAGTCTTCTGAAGGTGGGCCACAGATACCTAACACAGATGCCTGAGTTGGGTGTACCAGGCAGAAGGGGATCTGAGAGGCAGATACACAGGACATGAGGGTGCTACAGGAAGCCCCAGCTCACCTTTCCTGCTCTAAGTGTCTCAGTGGCCCAAACTGCATTTCAGAGGCCTTTCCAAAATTCTTGGCAGCATGTCTGCTGATATTTCTGTCTCAGAAATCCAAGTTTTGACTCAGAGGAGGTGATATCTGATGTGTTATGATGGCCAGCTTTAAATATCCAGCAGACAGAGGCTTGCCTTGGCAAGCATTGGCCTGTGGTCCCTGATACAGCCTTCTGGGTTCTGGCATCCAACAGTGTCCTCCTTCTTTCTGACCCTTTTACCTGGGTACAGTCCCACCCTCCTGAGGACCCAGAGGTCTGAAACCCTGAGTGGGCATGGCTTCAGCTCCCTGAGGGACTGTGAACTGACGTTCCAGGACTGTAACTCAATTCACTGTTTGGAATTTTAGTTTTTGAAACATACACCCTTCTTTTCTGCTTGATATCCTAGTCTTGGTTAAAAAAATGTGTATGCAGGTGAGCATGTATGTACATGTGAGTACAAGTGTGTACATGCATGTGCATGTACACACACATTCATGTGCATGTATGTGTGCATGTGTATGCATGCATCTATTCCTGTGCATGTGCATATATATGCATGCATGTGTGTACATATGCGTGTGTGCTTGTACATGTGTGTGTACATCTATGTGTGTGCATGTGTGAGTCTATGTGCGTGTGTGTGTATGTGTGTGTAGGCTAGAGGAAAACCTTGGGTGGTCATCCTCAGGAACACTGTCCACCTCCTTTCATACAGGATCTCTCACCTGGCTGGATCTGACCAGTTAGGTCAGTGAGCCCCAGGGATCCTCCTGTCCTTTGCCTCCCCAGCACTGGGATCACAAGCATGGGTCACTATGCCAAGCTTCCTACATGAGTTCTGGGATTGAACTCAGGTCCTTATATTTGCAAGGCAAGTGCATTACCAACTGAGCTATCTCCCCAGTCCCCATCTTCAGTATTTAGAAGTAAGTACTGGCCATAACCCACTAGGAAATTGCTCTGGAGAGGAAGGCATGGCAGCTGATGTCTCTCTGCTCCTCATCCAGAGTCATATCCATCTCCTGCCTTCTCTCTCCTCCTGCTTTCCTCCCTTCCTGTGCTGGAGTTGGAACCAGCGGCTCGTGCATGCTAGGTGTATACCACTGAACTACATGCCCAGCTCAAGACTGCATCTGCCCTTTCATGATCCCCTCAGAAGGGCTGTGGCTCCTCCTGGGCTCACCAGCCTGGACACAGCAGGAATGTCTGCCTGGCTCTTCTCAGCTCCTCTTCTGGTAGCCATACCGACCCTCTTGGCCGTGCTCTGTGCTAGAGTGCAGCTCTGTGCTCCTTTCCACTGCACAGCTCTTCATAGGGGTAATGACACGGTTGTGATTTTTTTAAATTAATGTGAAGTAAATTTTTAAAAAATTATTTATTTAATAACTACATACTTAGAAGAAGCATTTCATTACACAGCATTGACATATTCAATAAAAATTTTTAGGTTCACAGTTGAATAA